ATCGTTGCCTTTTTCAAATTCTCGTAAATGGCGCTGATGAAAGAAGTTGAATTGAAAGTCTGAAATTACTTCGAAAACGATACATTTGGGATTGTATAGAAGATTAGTTGTATCGTTCGATGTAGTTTGAAGCGCTTCAATAATCTCCGATTTATGCTTTTTAACTGAACTTGACTTTTTTGAAAAATCTTAGCAATTTGATCATGATGATTCATTCCCATATCAAAAATATCAATATTAAAAGTTGAAATAATTTTATTATAATCAGAAGTGGTCAAGAGAACTATTTATTACTTCTTAATAAATTAATCACTGCAACTTTGTTGTTGAAAAATAATGCGATTTGTTTGAAGTCTGAATGTAATTAAAGGTATTGATTGATTAGAATTTAATATGCTGTGATCAGTGTATAGTTAAAGCTTTGATATAATTTTTACAATATTTATTTATATAGCTTCAATTTGTTAAATTGAGCAGTTTTGTTTTAGGATTCAAAATTTTTCAATAGTAATAATTATATATATATATAATTCATCTGATAATTTAGCATTGAGCTTGCCAATTACAAACTTCTACTTCCAGTTTCAATTCACTTAATATACAATCTGATTTTCTGATTTTTACACTTTACATTCCGGTTTTCTGATTTTTCATACTTATATTAAATATTGTAATTGTAATTGCAATAATTGGCTACCCTTTTTATTTTTTTAAAGTTTTTCAATTACTAACATTTTTCGCAAATTTGAATTATCTCAATTTCAATCATAACAGTTAGTTTTGAAGAAGCAAAATTATTTTCTAATATCTTTTCCTATTTAATATTTTTTACAATTCATTTCATATATTTTAAATAAGGTGAAAAAAACACAACACATTAGCTGTCATTAACTTACCCAATTTATATTAATCTTTTCACATGAAATACAATAACTTTTCATCATTATTATATTTCTTCATGAATAATTCAAAAATAAAGGTCAAAGGTTAGTTGTAATTAATGCAACAAAGTTATATGAATTATTAAAAGTTACATCCATCTATTTATAACATAATAAATCATACCTTATCAAACTTTTTCTGTTCTTGATTTTTTTCATGTATGCGTATATATATACAGTTTCCCAGATATCGAACAATATGTTTAGTTGAAATGGACCAATTATCCGTCATGTACCTTTATCGTATCTTAACGATATCTATTCATAGTTTATTGGCAGGTAGAAATTGCTGATTGAGGCATCTTTCCTTCATTCATTCCATTCATTCACAATATTCAATTATATCCTTGAAAATTACACATCATTATACATACATACATATGTGTGTATGTGTTTTCTTTTATCTTTCAGATACCTTTAATGGGATTAGAAGATGAAGAACGATGAAAATATTGAAATAGACAAGGTGTCCTATCACATAGATCTGCCGCATCATACATTAATCTATCCTGCTGTGAGTTACTGTTGAGAGCGGTACAAGTCAAAGGTTAATTGTAATAGGGCAACAAAGTTACATACATTATTAAATGATCAATTTGTGTTATAGGTTTCATATTGCTTGATATGTTAAGACGAAATAGTTCGAAATTTGATAAAGTAATTAATTGACGGAAAGGAATGAATGAATGAGAATATCAAGAGGGCTAATGATTTATTTGTATGGTGTAATTATTATAATGCGAAGAGTGGTACTTGAAGTTGTGACCTTTATTGTCCCATCTGTTACTTTCATCTCCTTAAACTGATCCTAATTAAAGGATAAGGCCTGTTGTGATACAAACAAGAGACCTGTTGATTTGTTAAAGAACACTGATTTTAGTGGATTTATGAGTGATAATTAGTTAACATTAACTGTTATTTACTAAAGCAAAAAGGATTTCAACAACATTGCTTTCCAAAGCGTAAACATAAACCAGTAAACAGAATCTTCCTTTCTTCCTACACCTCTCTCTTTCTTTCTCTCTCTCTCAGTTTTCATCACACCTTTTTGTACAGTAATAGGCCAGGTATATGGTCATTCTTTAAGATGGCGCTCTGATATTGACCGAAATATCAAAGTACAGTATGCCATAAAGGAAAAAAAATGAAATGAATTATCATTATTATCATTTGTGACTATCTTAAATGAGAATATTTATTATCATTTAAGGCATAATTTAGGAAGAAAAAAGATAAATAATTTATTAGATATCTTCAAATTCAATTTAACTTTAATTTATTTGAAACAATAATTGAATTCGATTTCAATTTAAATCATTTCTAAATCAATTTTCATCTGATAAAAAAGAATTTTGCATTATTTTAGATCAAGCGAATTGATTAAACAAAATAATTAAACAATTAAAATCAATAAATTTTTACTTCCCGCAAATCAATCATTCATTCCAATAATTATCGAATGATTTAGTAAAAGAAAAAGAAATAAATTAATGAGAAACTTTTTTTCAACTTTAAATTAGTTAAAAACTAAGCCTAATTTTATATCACTGATAAAAATTACAAATATTACTGTAATTGGTATGATAAAATGTTGAAGATTTATAGTACTTCTATTATTTATACAATTTGTTCAATTAGTTAATTATCTCTTAGCAGTTTATTTTTCATCATTTTCATCATCAACCAATTAACGAAAAGATGACAGTTGTTCTCATTGAATTAAGTTCCATTTATTTATTTGTTGATAACTGATAATTCATTCCTTCATCTTATCCATTCCATTCTTATCCATTCTATGCATCAATCATTTCTCATTTCCTCCTCCTACTAAATCTAATCATTTCATTCATTTATTCAACACAAAGTGGATATAAAACACAGTAATAATCATGGATACATCTTCATTTCTTCTATTCCTCTCTCATTCATTCATTTATTCGCTCCATTTCATCCCATTTCATTTCATTTTCATTTTCATTTTCATTTTCATTTCATTCATCCATACCCTTTCATTCCTATGTTTCCCATTAATTTTTGATAATGTTGCAATAAATTTTAATGATAACTTTTTAAGGCCTAAGATTAGTCATTTGGCATTAGTTATGTAACCGATCACTTGTCCTCACATTGGCCTACCTATGTATTCGGCATAATCATTGGCCTTAAAAAATTGATTTCCGTCTAACTTCAGGATTTTTAACACATGTTAACAACAGCAATATTTGAATAAGATTTTGAAAGTAACCATAAGAAGGAATATTTATTGTATTATGTCATTTATTTAGGCTATAAAATACTACGCCATTATTTTATATCCCAAATGTTTTGACATTGTTTATCATCATAATCTTTATTATTACCAACCTAACAAGTTAATAGCCACAATTTTCTCATAAACGAAACCTCTGTTATCACTACTAATTCTATTATTATTATGATTAACTATAATAATTGTCATTGATGAGATTTTAGGAGGAAATTCGAATGAAATTCAATATTAACTGAATTTAATTAACGCAATTAAAAATTGGAAAGCAAATGATAATGTAAACAGAAATATCGTAAAACTGATTGCCTGTTTATATGACTTTTGTTAATGGCTAAAAAAATATCGGTTAGTTGATAATTAAAGAATTTAGCTAATTATCAAAGATGGAAAGTTTATAACAAAGAAACTTTCAAATATTGTAACCAGGATTACATTATTTCTTGGCTTATATTCTAAAAGTATCATTTACATAATCATAATCCTAATTTTGTCTAATTATGTTTGCATTCATTTTTCGAAGAAATTTCATCATTATTTTCATTATTATAAACAATAAACAATGATCATTAAGAGATAATAGCTGAATAAAATGAATGATGTAAATGATTGTAATTAAATTTAAAAATTTGCTATATTTGAAACAATCAGATATAGTTGAATAAATTTTATTTTATCAAATAAACGAGCTTCAAATGCTAAATCTGAAATATTTGAAAAAGATGAGGTAATAGGCAAATTTTGAATATTTCAATTTATGATATGATGAAAATATACGATGTAAACAGAATGTACAATAATGTTATGAATAGGTTACTGAAATATTAATTTTTATTCTGCAATTAACAATTCAGAATATAGGAAAGTTTTATTTCATTCACGCATAAATATATAAATATATTTGAGTGGAAAGAATTTAGGAGAACTTAAAGGGAATTTTTGAATTTACCGATTGACTGCTATTGCTGATCATTATTATTATTAATTATCAATATTATTGCTACTATTGTTGTTGTTATTGTTATTAATTATTACTATTTATTATTAATTATTGTTATTAATTATTACTATTACTATTGTCATTAATAGTAATATTGTTATTGGAATGGATACTATTAGAAAAGTATTTGCATGTCGATAAAGGACAATGACCATATAAACCTTAAATAACGTGTAATCAGTGATGTTGCAGAAGAAATTTGTTATGGCTTCGAGACAAGCAGCTTTCCATTTGATGGCATTTTAATATGAAGTTGACGACAATGTAAGTATGGGTATGTATGTCTATGTGTGCCCCAATCAAAATACTTCCGAAGTTCGGGCCATTTGTGGCTCCTCGAAGAGAGATGCCTGCTACATTTAAGGACAGGAAAAGAAGAGGACCGCCTACTGCTCCCTTTATCCTGCTTCCACCAAGATTCATTTCCGCATCACTTGTCAAGCTATCCTCTCACATTAACATACATCCTCATCTTCCGTTCACCTATTTACTTACTTATTTACTTACTTACTTGTTATTTCATTACTCATTTACTCATAAATAAACATTAAATAAAGACTGATTCAGATAGGCTGATTTTTAGAAGCAATATTTAAATTCTGGCAAATGAAAAATTTTTCAATACTCTTAAACTTTAATAGTATTTAAATTTACAATTCAAAATTACTTATTAAATTTAATTGTTGAAAATTGTAGTAAGAACGAAAATATGCTAATTTAATCAATTTTGTTTAATTTTCAGTAATTTTTCTATTTTCAATATTTTACGAAACTGAATGTGGTAGCAGGAAAAATGTCGAAATTAAAGAAAAATTTATCGAATTATTCGATAGCTCGACTTGTTGGTACCGATTCATCGACCTTAGATCATAATATGAACAAGCCGACAAATTCGCTAACAAAACCATTTGAAAATCCTACAGATCATCATCGTATTGAGAATTATAACTTACCTATGAACTTACCTCCAAAAATGATGCAACCGATACAACAAGGTTGGTGCTAATGCGATATTACTGCGATATGCGATAATTGTATCATGATTTATATAATATGTTACAGTGTGTACTGTAGTGCATATTTATAACAGAAATATATTAGTACTAAAATAATTGTATCTAATATGGAATTATTATCAATTATGGAAAAAAGAAGAATACATTGAGAATTTCGGATATGAAAAAATTTCGAAAAAAGGAAAGAAAAACGAAGATCGATGATCTTATTGATCATCAACAAGAATTAATTTAATTTAATAAATTTTGAAAATTTCAAAAACTTTTTCAAAGAAAATTTAAAAATGATATTTTATGTTTAGCATATAAAATATATTATTTAAATTTAAATGATTGGTTTGTAGTTTTTTCATATCAAACATGTTGTCACAAAGTACAATTCATCTCTTTTATTTCGTTGAAAAACTTTCGTAACTAATTCAATTATTATGATTATGAAATGATTCAAATTCTTCATTACTGTCTATTCATATTAAAATAATAATGAAATCATGATTATGTCATCTTAATAAAAAAAATATCATCAAATTATGTTAAATATTTTTGATAAATTAAAAATAGATAATAAATTAAAAAATTCAGATATTTGAATTTAAATCAGTAGCCATAGTTTATTTTACTTAAATTCTAGATTATATCTTATTTATAATTTTAAAATATAAATATTATAATCTATTTCATATTATGAAAGAATTATATATTTTTGTTAACTATGCAATATCAATTCTCTTATTATTGCATTACTTCAAAGATGCTGTTTATATGATAAAAGAAAAGTTAAATTTGTTTGTATAATGTTGATAATGATAATATGATTAATTAATTACAATATCTGATTAATTAATTCCAATATATCAGATAGAAATGAATATGATAGATTTGGTATATACGGTAGACAGATTAAGATGAAGAATGGACGGGAAGAGTGGGAGTGAAACAAACAACCAATGGCATTGCAGTGATTTCCCATAATCAATGCTATCCATCCTCAGCACTACGAAATATCTTATTCATTCATTTACTTTTTACTTAATTACTTATTTGCGCTACTAATAATTAATTCCTTAATTATTTCACCTTTAACATTTTAATTATTTAGGTTACCATTTGATTGATTGATAAAATCTAAAATTTAATTTTATTTAAAATTTGAATCAATTTTAAAATTCAGAATTTCAGGAAAGAAAAATCAGAAATTAAATTAAGAAAAACATTTATCACAAAATATATAATTTTTTAATAAAGTTTTCTTTTATTATTGTAATTTGCTTGAATTAATTAAATAATTTGCAGGATATCATCCGATGCAATCATTGCAGCAAGGTGTATTTCCTGCACGACAACTCTACACATCATCATTGTCTAGCAGTGATATTGCAATGGCAAATTCGAATGTAAGCCAAATTGCATGGAATATACATTTACGACAAGTAGCATTGAATTTGATGACATTGCAAAGGCTACAAGCTGCAAATAATGCAGAACGAATTATTCCTAACAAGCAATCTTATCCAATGCATATCGCTTCTGCTACAACTGCAGCTGCAAACAGTGAAGAAGGAAATGTGCAATCTTGTACAACTTATAATAGCAAATTATTCATTAATGCATATTCATTAAAAGTAAATATCTTATTTGATTTTTTGGTTTCAATTTAAAAAAGAGAAATTTTTTAAAGCACAAATAGGAAGTATTTTTAATGCTAAGTATTGTTTTATTTGAGCAAATAATGAATCATTTTCAAATTGTAATTTAAATAATCAATAAATCAAGTAGTTAGCTTAAAAGGATTTTGCAACTATCATAGTGTGATGATAGTACATAGTGTGTAATGATAGTGTCAACTATCATAGTGTGTTGATTTGACAACATGAAATGAATATTAAGTTATTAACGATATAATTTAATACAATTAATTATTAACGAGTTATTTATTTTCATCTTTCTTACTTAAATATTCAAAGCACTATTGATCTAAAAAATTATTGCAATGATATGCATAAGTTAATAATTTAAGTAACCATTGTGATAAAATGATAAGACTGCAATAAAATTATGATTATAATAAGATTAAAATCACAATAATAATTTATAGTAAAAAATAAATTTAACAAGAATTAGAGTAAATAATGGAAAAAATTACTATTGTTTGCATATTCATTATCACAATTGTTTTTTTATTTTTATCGAAATTTATTATTTGCATTAGCAAATATTGATAAATAATATTTGCATAAATGAAATAGATAAAATGTCGGAATATTAAAATACCTTTCTTTTAATTATTGATTTCTAATGTTTTTTAAAATTTACGAAATATCTTTTTTAGCAGCATATGCTTGAGCAAAACAATCAATGTTCAACAATATCCGGTTCCGAGAAGCAATTCAAATGTAAGCAATGCGGTAAAGCATTCAAACGTTCCTCAACTCTAAGTACCCATTTACTTATACATAGTGATACAAGACCATATCCATGTGATTATTGCGGTAAACGTTTTCATCAAAAATCGGATATGAAGAAACACACATATATTCATACTGGTAAATAAACTTTAATTAACCAATTCATTCATTCAGTTATTCATTATTTCAAATAATCTATTAACTTAGCGTATTCTGATATCGAATTTCTTTTTAAGTAAGCTAAAAATTCACAAACTTCTTATCAAGTTAATTTTTAATTGAAACAATGATAGAGTAAATTAAAAAAGCTAAATATATTAAAATCAATATAAAATCATGATATTTATAATGCAATATAAATTTATTCGAATTTACGAAGAAAAAGAGAAATGAAAAGAAAAGTTATAATGAATAACTTAAACATCAAATAACTTAATAATATTATTTAATTCATTATTCAATTTATTATTATTCAATATATCAATTACATATAAGGGTGATATATGCTTAATTCAAATAAGAAATGAATTAACGAATTATTGCTAACAAAAAGCATAAATTTTCATGACCTTCCAATTTGCTTATAGTAACATCTGTTGAGCATTTAATTCTTATCTTACCGAATATAGCAAATTAATTTCAATTAAAGATTAATGAATGATTTAGGGAATGCTTATTTTGAGTAATAGAAAGAAATCAATCATTGCTTTTAATTTCAACGAATTTTTCATTCGAATGATAAAATTCCTTTTTTTTTGGAAATGCTTTAATAGATTTATTACTTTAATAAACTTTATAGCTGTCAATTAAAAAAAAATCAATGCTATTTAATAATTCTTATAATTATTTGATTGAGAAAAACGAATCAATAATTTACTGCTATGTATTACTTTTATGTTATAAATATGATAGTTCGAAGAATGTTACTATGTAAGTTATTATCCTATCATTTAATTATTGTATTTAATGGATATAATTTTATTAGGTGAAAAGCCTCACAAATGTATGGTATGTGGTAAGGCATTCTCTCAATCATCAAATCTAATCACTCATTCACGTAAACATACTGGCTATAAACCATTTTCCTGTGATATTTGTGGTAAGACATTTCAACGAAAAGTTGATCGCCGTCGACATCGTGAATGTCATCATTCCAGCAATATTTGCATTCATCGACGTTTGTGGTTATTTTCAAAAAAAATTTTTCTTTTTTAAATTTCTGATTTAATTATTAAAATAGTTATCATTGAATAGTTTATAAAAGTTGTAATAATTATATAATAATATAATTAAATAAATGAAAGTTCTAATAATATAATTAAATAATTAAATATTGTCTTATCAATTACTTATTTGCTGACTGCTTATTTAAAAAATTATTATTAAAACGAAATGAATTGTTTGAAGTTTAATAAAAATTATACGAATTTTTTCTATTCGATAATAAATCGATTAAATGAGACAAATAAAGCATGATGAGAAGAAAACTATAAAATTTCAATTTCTAAACTTTAGCACTGCGAAATAGTATCGATCGGAGTGCTTCAAATAATTATGCAAATTTGATGAACCGATCATCGTTCGTGAATTCGGATCATCCTGAAATATCAAATAATGCAGTTTTGAATCCGAAATCAGTGCATTTTCATATGCCAGAATCTGATGAGGCATTAAATCTTAGCTCAAGATAGCAATTGTATCAAATATGTTGTATCATTTCGCTGCATCTATTTCAATTTATTATTTAAAATTAATTTAGGATGTCTTTTATTTAATTTAACTATAATGTTGGACCGGTATCTGTAGATAATCGTTTTCATCAAACCAAATTTCAGCAATCAAATAATGCAATTTTAATAATGATTGTTTTGTCATAATCATTAGATAGCTCTTTAAAAGTATTATTGTAAAGCTTTCAATTTACATATCAGTCTGTATTTGATATTCCTATTGTATATTGAGATGTTCAACATACAGGTCATGCAGGTCAGATCAGGTTTAAAAATACTACCAAAGAAAAAAGAAAAAAGTGTTTCAGCAAAAGTGATACTATAATGAAAACAAATATAATAATGATAATGATGATGGTGATAAAGATAAATAATATAAACTATATTCATTAAAACAATGATATTAATAATGATAGCATAATTGTCAAAAGAACTGCGATAGAATGTTCATTGATTTTATCCAACTTGAATTTAAAAAATAAAACAGCTTCGTTTTCTTTTGGAGTAATCATTTCAATTGAAATTTCATAAAATAAAATAAATGTTAATTTTTATTAATACATAGTTGTATAGGACGAAATGCAAAACTTTCATCCAAAGGGAAGAAAAGCGATAATTATCATCAAATAAATATTACATTTATTGTTAGCAGCAAAATATGTCACATATGTAAGCTTTTATCCACTTTTCCTCAACTTATTTATCTCTTCTCTTTTATCATTATCTTACCGTATTGCATTCTAAGAGTGAATAAATAAACGAATCATTCGAAAGCAATAAATAAACGAATCATTCCAAAGCAGTACACTTTTGTTAATTTAAATATTCATTTAAGAAGTAATATATTTCAATCCATAAATATTTTTTTAATTTATTTATGCTTTATAGCTGTTATTTTCCTTTATTTTTTACCTCTCACTTCTTTTGTTTTAAATCTTTTTCATTTATTCTCGCAATTTTTAATTAATTAAATCGGTGCAAAATTAGAATAATATTATTTCTTCTTAATTTATAAAATTGAACAAAATAAATTATAATATACAATTGTAATTATAAGAATAACGATTATATAATAACTGTTCAATAATATTTCTTCTTAATTTATAAAATTGAACAAAATAAATTATAATATACAATTGTAATTATAAAAATAACGATTATATAATAATTATTCAACAGTATTTCTTCTTAATTTATAAAATTGAACAAAATAAATTATAATATACGATTATAATTATAAGAGTAACGATTATATAATAATTTTTATAATAATACATACATCCGTACGCATATTTAATGCAATTAAACTTAAATAATAAAATATCAACTAATTCAAACTTAAATTAAATTCAATAATTCAGATTTTACCCCTTTGAAATTTCGAAGCATTACTTTGCTTATTACTTGTTAACAACCAATAAATAAACATTCATTAACAATAATAACAATAGCAAAAAATTAAAATTAATGAATACATGATATCGTAATAATATAATATTATTCGTATTGTAATAGATGAAAAGTGGTTGGATTTATTGATGAATGAATAATAAGCTGTCAATTAAAAAAGAATTTAAATTAAATCAAATTCAATAATTCAGATTTATCATGATAAAATTTCAAATATTATTTCATTTATTGCTAACAAATCAATAAACAATAATAATAGCAAAAAATTAATATAAACAAAATCTACATGATATTATAATAATATAATATTATTCGTATTGTAATAAATGAAGACTGGTTGGATTCATTGATGAATGAATGAATGTTTTTGCAATTATCCGTTAATATGTCACAGCTTTCCACATTATTGCCATTTAATTAATCCCATATATCTGTCTCACATTCCAAAATCACTCCTTTTTCCGTTTTCTTCTTCGTTTACCACATATTTACCGGAAAAGAATATACGGAAGGAAAAAAAGGAATAAAGAAAGAATCGAATTGAATTTAATTCTTTCTCTGATTCTCAATTTTCCCTATTACACTTTTCATGTTTTGCAATCATATTTGTCATTTTGGTGATTTAATTTTATATTGTCATGCATAAAATGCAATATATGCATGCATGCAATGCAATATATGTTTGTGAATCATTTTTCCATTATTATCTTTCGCTTTCTCTTTTGGTTGTCAATTTCAACGAAAGTAACAACAAGCATATCGTTGTTGATAACGACAATATACGACGACATTATGTATATTTTTAATTTTATTCTATGCTAAAAATTTCTTCAAAAATTATTGTTCAAAAGAAACGAAATGAGATGATTTGTACTTCTGAAGTTTATTAAACTTTTCCATTTCACCCTCTCTCTCTCTTTCTCTCTCTTTCCTTGTTTTTCAATTTTTATTCCTCTTCTTTGTTTTTCACCAAATTAGGGGTTATCAAAAGTTTGAAAGGAAAATATGAAAGATGACTGATAATAAATGATAAGTAATGCATTCCATAAATAAGAAGAATAAGATATTTGATAAAGCGGAAAATCCGTTATTGAAATCATTTGAATGTTTTATTTAAGTAATTAAAAAATTATGTATTACATATTTAGATAATTCATTTACAGTAATTAGAATTACTTCGACGAAAATTAAATTTTTCATCATCCATTTCATTTGTTAAAACTTTTGCTTCTAATTGTTGTAATCATTTGTATCATTTATAAATTACCGTAATGAAAGAAATCATTTTGCAACTGAAAAATCACTTGATAATAAATATTTCAGATTCATAAATAAAGATTATTAGGAAGGATATGAAATATTAGCTTTCAAAATTATTTCACATCATTTCCTGAAAAAGAAAACGGGAAAAAATCAATGAAGCGGATGTAATCGGATGAAATCCAATTGAAGCTTACAAGTTCATCATCCACCAGGAAACAATCAAGTGAATTGCTTTTAGGAGCGAAACACTGTTAGCTGGTAGTAGTAAACGGTTGGTTGAAGTAATGATTAATGGATATTTATCATATTTAAACACCATACTACAACAATTATTCATCAGTTATGCATCCACGAGCAAATACATTAAAATCACTTGTTACCACCATTTCAATATAACTATTATATTTATGCAGATGATAGATAATAAAAGGATTACCGGATTCGGATAAAATAGCTAAATTCAAATAAACTAATAGTACCAAAAATTCTCAATATCATCCNTTAAAATCACTTGTTACCACCATTTCAATATAACTATTATATTTATGCAGATGATAGATAATAAAAGGATTACCGGATTCGGATAAAATAGCTAAATTCAAATAAACTAATAGTACCAAAAATTCTCGATATCATCCCACATAGTATTTTACGAAAATTTGAAGTTACTTTGGTACTAAAAATTAAGAAATGAAAAATTTTGTGTCACCTTAAAATCCAAAAAATATATCATATATTATATATATCACGTATATCACATATATGATAAATGATATTATCATGAAAAAAGTAATTGAATTAAATTAAAAATTCATTATTACTAATAAAAAAATTATTTTCATTTACTGATACATACTATTTACTTATAAAAGTATATTTACTTTTATTAATTATATATTATATAATTGACTAAAAAGGCTATGATATCAGTAATTAAAATATTTCATTCAATTATTCAAGTTCTTTCAAGTACATTTGAATTTTTGCTCTTAACAATTGAAAGGAAGCAAATTGGAAGAAGTTATGATAGTGTTATGAGCTATGATAATTATGATTATATATAAATTATGATAATTATGATAATGTAAAAGTTATGATAATTATGATTATGTATAAATATACATAATTTGCTAATGAAAAACAACGATGAAATTTCGATGAAAATTTCAATTTATCATCATAAAATTGCAAAAAGAAAAAAAAATGATATTTGATTAATGATATGTATTTTATCAGAGAAATCAAAAGCAATGCTAAAAATCTATCATAGATATGATATTTTGGGGGGATTCGAAATGATAATGAGGATGTTTATCATCGTCAGGAATGTATGTCCTTCGGGAAAACCGGAGCTAAATCAATCAGCTCTTTCCTCTTCAACTTAAATCCAATTCTTATCGGAATTTTTTTTTTGTTCCAGAATTTTCACCAAATTTAAATTACCTATTTATTTATATATTATAAACATACATATTACAAACATTTAAAAGTTAAAAGAGGAAAGTTGATGTTTTTGAGCTATTAATTATTTTAAATGAAGAAAATAGAAATTTTACAAATTAGGGAAAAGAGTAATTAAATCGGAAATGAAATAATTAAATTGTTTACATTTAAAATTAACAATTTGTAGGATTGAAATTTGTTAGTTAGAATAATTTCCTTTTATTTTTGTAAAATTTTAAGCATATCTAATAAAGTGTAACTTTATTTACAGTTTAATTATGGATAAATAATTGAAGCGTATTGAAAATTTCAATCGATATGGATAAATTAAAACTGAATTATTTAATTTGTTCGTTTTATAATGCTTGCATGATGAGATACTCTATTGTTGACCATTGATGATTGATTATTGGTCATTGGACAAGAAGAAGTATTGTTAGATTTCCAATTGAATTTATGGGGGAAGATAAAATGGAACGTTGTTCAATGATGATAAGCTATTTGATATAAGTTGAAAGTTATTCGATAATAATTATTCGGAAATTTTTAAATGATAAACGATTTCAAATGAGCTGAAGTTTTATTTAATGATAAAATATCTGACAATAATAAATTTGAAATTAATTAATAATTGAAATGATATTCAGGCAGATTTTTACATGCAAAATTTTAAAGGAAATGGTCAATTAATTAAGTTAATTTGAATTATAATTAAAAATTTTAAATTTGAATTAATTAAGTTAATGTGAATTAATTAAGTTAATTAGAATTATAATTAAAAATTTTAAATTTTATATAATGCTGAGAAAAAACATATATGTAAAGTTTGCACAATATTATTGTAA